TCATGGTGATTAAATAAGTTAATATGATAAAGCAGTTAGAATAGCACTTGACAGATGGTAAGTCCTCTGAATGTGAGCTCATATTACCATAAAGTATTTGACCAGGTTGTGATATTGTTTAATTAATTTTTTATTGAAGTACAGTTCACACACAATGTTACATTAGTTTTAGGTGTACAACGTACTGATTCAACAAGTTTATATGATATGCCCTGCTCACCACAAGTGTAGCTACCAGCTGTCACCCTACACGGCTATTATAATGCCATTGTCTATCTTCCCTATACTGTGCCTTTCATCCTTGTGACCTATTCATGCCATAACTGGAAGCCTGTACTTCCCATTCCCCTTCCCTTCCTGTATTTATGGGTCTTCTGCCTTTTGTTTGTTCTTTGATTTGTTCTGTCTTTTAGGTTCCACCTATAGATGAAATCATATACTATTTGTCTTTTTAATCTGACTTATTTCATTTAGCATGTTGTTGCAAATGGCAAGATCTCATTCTTTTTTATGGCTAATATTCCACTGTGTGTGTGTGCGTGTGTGTGTGTGTGTGTGTACACACCACATCTTCTTCATCCATTCATCTATTGATGGACACGGGTTGTTCTCATATTTTGGCTATTGTAAATAAAGCTATATTGAGCATAGGGGAGCATATATCTTTTTGAATTAGTGTTTTGATTTGGGTAAACACCTAGTAGGAAATCACTGGATCACTTGGTATTTCTATTTTTAATTTCTGGAGGAACCTTATACTTTTTACCACAGTGGCTGCACTGGTCCCTCCTGATGGATATTTTTGCCATTTCCAATTCTTTACATGCCAAAGCATTTTTTTAAAGATTTTATTTATTTATTCACGAGAGACACAGAGAGAGGCAGAGACACAGGCAGAGGGAGAAGCAGGCTCCCTGCAAGGAGCCAGATGTGGGACTCGATCCTGGGTCCCAGGACCATGCCCCAGGCCAAAGGCAGCACTAAACCGCTGAGCCATGGGGGCTGCCCACATGCTTTGGCTTCTAAAGAAACTTTTAAGGCAAGTTATGAATTGCCCTTACCCTCCATTACATTTGAGCCCCTGTTTCTGAATTACCAACACCCAACAACTGCTTATAAGCAGCTAACAAATGTGGGATCCCTGGGTGGCTCAGTGGTTTGGCGCCTGCCAAACCCAGGGTGTGATCCTGGAGTCCAGGGATCGAGTCCCACGTCGGGCTTCTGGCATGGAGCCTGCTTCTCCCTCCTCTTGTGTCTCTGCCTCTCTCTGTCTCTATGTCTATCATGAATAAGTAAATAAAAAAATCTTAAAAAACAAACAAATGTTACTCGTGTTGTTGACTCCCCTTGGAGACAGTGCAAAATGGGTTGAGTGGGGTACAGTGGAGTGGCTTCCAGGCTTGACCCAAGGGAGTCCACTGCAGGTTTTCTCTCTGCAGAGATGCCATGCCAGGCATGCGAATGCTCAGTGGAGATGGGAAAGGAAGCAGGAAGATTGGCATCTGAGGTGTCAGTCAGGAAGGGAGTCAGGCTGGAGGACTGGGCTGGAAAGAAGCCGGAGAGTATGTGTAATCCAGAGACAAACCTGAGGACAAAGAACTCAAAAGGATGCCTTGGGAACCAAATATTTTAGTACCTTCAGTGAGATGCTTTGCTGTATATAGTTCTCATGGACCTAAAGATACAGACTTATGTTAATTTTGATGGGAGCCGAGGACAGGCCACCCCAGGATGAGCCACTTGACAAGAAGATGATTTTGAGTTAAAAAGCAATCAAAACCCAGCAGATTCAGGAAAAGCTCATTAACCTTCCCCCATAATTGCCTCAAAGAATCTAGGTAGAGGACCCACTCCAGGAAGAGAGCCATCGCCATAGATGACTGCATTATGATATGAACAAGGGATGGTAGACAGGAAGGAGCCTAATAAGCCCTGTTTGTTCGAAGTGTTCTCTGTTTCACTGTTCCTGAGCGGCCCAGCAAACATTGATTTTCCAAACATTTACTCTTTTTTATTCTTTTTTTCTTAAAAAAATGATTTTATTTATTTATTCATGAGAGACATAGAGAGAGGGAGGCAGAGACACAGACAGAGGGAGAAGCAGGTTCCATGCAGGGAGCCCAACGTGGGACTCGATCCCGGGATGCCAGGATCACGCCCTGGGCCGAAGGCAGACGCTCAACCACTGAGCCACCCAGGCATCCCAGGTATGCTACTATTAAATTTGATTTTCTCCTGTTATCCTGTCTCATGTCAGTGTGACTCTTAGTGCAACTAGAAGGACTTTGAAGGGGGCAGGAATGCTTCCTCCCTCATAATATTAATTCCAAAACTACAAGGCTCTTCTCCCCTGTGCTCGCACAGGAACTCAGCTCCTTCCTCCCAGTCTTCCTGGACCATTTCTGGGGGCAGAAGCCCCACTCAGAGGTGCAGAGACAGATGTACTCACTCCCAGGTGCCTCACCAGTCACAGCCTCGGGTGCTGGAGACACCATAGAGAACCGACTGGGCTACTTGGTCCTCCCCTCCACCCCCCCTGCCCCAGGGCAAGCGTGGGAGGGAAGAATGAATCTCCAAGTCTGTGTCCCGAGTCCTTAGAGAATTAACTCTTTATTTGTCTCCAACTCAGGCTCTGCTGGAGTCCCAAACATGTCCCCTGAGGCTGAACTGGGGAAAGGGAGAGGATGATCAATATCAGCCATGTCCTCCACTGTCTTTTCTGTTTTATCTTCTTAGTCATTCCAGAATAAATGTTGACCGACCATCCTGGTGAATTTAATGTGAACCTAATCCCAACTTGCTGCCTCTTCTCTATCCAGGGGTGGACCTCCCCCACCTCCATGCCTCTGGGGTGCCTGTGACTGGCTTTGGAGAGCCGGGTATGGCTGAAGGGATGATGTGGCAGTCCTAAGCCTGCACCTCCCAAAGCCTTGGGTGCTGTCACTCACTCACGGCTCCTCACCAGGCCCTGTGAACAGTCCAGGTTCAACGACCGGCTGAAGAGAAATTGCCTCAACCCACAGCCAACCACCTGCCCAGCGGAACCCCGAGGAGCTATACGCTGCCAGGCCCAGCCAAGAGCAACAGGGCGCGTGGATGACCTGCTTTCACGTGAGGGCTACCAGGGGACCAGAAGAACCGCTCAGCTAAACCACAGACTTGTAAACCAAGGAAGGTCTCTGCCGTTTGAAGCCACTGGGTCTTCTGTTTGTTACACGGCATCGTTGTGACAACGGGTAACTGATACAATCCTTTCTACCCTCTAAATCTGTATCTATTATCTATATCTATATCTATTATTTTTTCCAGATTCAAACACCTCTCTGAAAAGCTCAACAAATAGCCAAACTAGTTAAGTCTAGATTCATCCCAAACACCTTGCTGCCATTACAACAGTTGTGCAAAGGCTATTGTGGCAAGAAGATAGCTTAGCAGGTGTCCAGGAAGCCGAAGGGAACACTAGTCAGCCTGCAGGGAGAAACACACGTGAGCAGTGTGGGGGCTGCAACAACCTACCCATCTTTGAAAGGGCCACAGAGGTCCCAGGAAGCGTGGTGTGATGGCATTTCTTGTGCAAACCAAGAAGGGAGGCCAGTCTCCCCATTTGGGACCAAGTGGTAGCTGAAATGAGACCGAGGGCCTCCGGAATCAAAAGGAAGATGCTGAGCTGCCCCAGGCCCTGGGACCAAGGCTCCAGCCCAGTTTGTCTACAATCTCTGGTGGCAGGGAAGCCCTCCCGTGGGAATCCGAATGACACATTAACTTCAGCGGACACCCTGTCTCTACGCGGCTTTTAGAATGCCAGGTTGCGTATCGGATTCTAGCCCCTGGCTGCTGCTCAGTGTTGGACCCTCCAGTGGTAACCTTCCCTGGGAGAAGCTAAGAGGAGAGCCTTGCTCAGTGTGCGGGTCGTGGCACCGGACAACGGACTGCTCCGCTCTGACTGCAGGGTAGCTTCTCTTCCCTCTGTGACCCCTTCCTCTTCATTCCGATTTGAATGGAGCCTGCATACCTAGGGCAGATGATCAGACTTTGCCCCCTCCCCAGGCAGCTCTAGCGTGTTCCATGGGGCTCTCCTGGTGGAGCTCCTTTCAGACCCGGGGCCTGGGGGTCATAGGAACGCTGCCCACATTCCAGCAAATGGCCACCGAAAGGCAACAGGCCGTCAGCTAGAAATCTGAGGATTGACAGCTGGGTGCAGAGAAAGCAATAAATGACCAGTTGCTGATTGTTGATTTCTAGCTCTGTTTACCCTTTTGAGTAATAATTTAAAAAAAAAAGTAAAGGTGAACATAGGAAAATCCTTCCTAACTTCATAGTTTAGCCTCTTGGGCTGGGAGTGAGGGTTGAGTTGAGTTAGGCCCTGTGAAGTGGTCAGTGTGTACCTGGCTCTCTGAAAGACTCTTTTCCCACTCCAGTCATAGTTCTGTGGGTGTGGCCCTAATTGTTTAGTACCTGACCCTGGGGTGATTTGGGGCGGGGGAATATTGACTCTGTGTGAGGGTTAGATAAAGTTGGTGGTTGGGGGTCTGAGCTCAGGATTGGTCAGTTTGCATATCAAAGTCACGCTCACAGGCCAGTTGTTTGCTATCTCCAGGAATTGGCTAACTGTAGGGAGGGCGGTCCCTGCCCAGGTCTGAAAGGCCCGCACATGCCAAAGCATCGTGAAATACAGAAAATTTAAAAATGTGGTAAATACAGCAGGCCGGGAAAGCATGCTTCCTCCATATCTACCCCGAACACTCGAATTATTGGGACACTTGATGGCTTCTGGGCCTTCTCAAGAGGTCACACAGTGTAGGACTCGAATATTCTGTGCTCTAAGTATTTACAGAAGTCACTCTCAGCATCTCAGTCCAGCTCTCTTGACCCAGAGCAGTTCTTTGCTTTTTCAGGAAACAAACGGGATGAAAGTCCAGGGCTGGGACTTCCTCCTCGGGGTGTTTGACAAGGACTGACGTTCTCTAGGCCCTTTGCATACGGGAAACCCAGGACACACCCAACCTTGATTGTAGTTTCTTGAGTGCTGAATGCTGGAACGTAAGTAAAAGGACAGAAGGACAAACGTTCCAATATGAGGGACCCACTGGCAGATTGCTCGGTGAGTAGCTCAGTGTGGTTTTGTGTCTGTGGGTGAGAGGGTGGCCTCAGAGGGGAGGTTCATATATTAATGGGTTTTAACTTAAGAAATTTGAGACATTCGGCAAACACGTTTAGACATTGGCTGTGATACAAAAGTCTTGTGGCTTTCCTTTGGTTTGATTTAAAACAACCCTTTCTAGCAAATGACAGGGCTGGTTAATTGTCATATTTTATTCTCATGTTGTTGGAAAAACTTCCAGTGGGTATAACATCATACTTGCTTGCAGATGGTGGCTGTTTGGAAAACATTCTTAAGATATACACCAATGGTGCCAACATCGTGTGTAGAGTGGCGACACAAATACTCAGAACCTGCAGCCAATTTTGGGGCTCTGAGAATGAAATGAGGGTGGAAGCTTTTGGCTTATTTCCCCATGTCATTTAGAGTCAAGAATTGCAAAGCCTGGGCAGCCCGGGTGCCTCAGCGGTTTAGTGCCTGCCTTAGGCCCAGGGTGGTGATCCTGGAGTCCCGGGATGAGTCCCACATCGGGCTCCCTGCATAGAGCCTGCTTCTCCCTCTCCCTGTGTCTCTGCCTCTCTCTCTCCTCTCTGTATTCTCATGAATAAATAAATAAAATCTTAAAAAAAAAAAAAAAAGAATTGCAAAGCCTGTAAGTGAAGGACGGGTCCCCCACTCTGCCTGGCGTATAGTGGTTCTCAGACAAGTTTACTAACATGTTTGTTTAGTCCTGGGGGTGTTACCCAAAACAGAAGATTGGTCAAAAATCCAAAGATAGTGTGTGAGGTTAACAACGATAGTAGAGATGAAATTTAGGAAAGAAGGAGCAATTAAGGCATGTGGGGGTGTATCTACTGTAGACATCAAATAGTCGAGAATCGTCAGTGTGTTAGCCCAGGAAAGGGTGGCAAAAAACTAAAATCAGTGACATCGGAAGCAAGGATTTGCATTCATCCCTCAAGTGTTTTATAAAAAAAAAAAAACAAAAACACCCAACAATAACAAACTGTGGAGAAACGTAAATGAGGGCTGCAATAAAGCCATAAAGAAGAAGAGCGACAGAGAATTATTAGTTTCATTTTTGTGTATATAATGTACAAAGCACAGGTTTAGAGAAGGTGGAGCTGTAAGTGCCACCCCACAAAATGGAGTTCATGAATCACATGAGCTAAATGAGATGAAGGCAGAATGGCTACTATTATTAATAATGACGATATAATAGCAGGTTCTGTCTACTTTTTTGAAATGCAAAAGTAAATATGTGTCTGATGCAAAAACAAATTCCAACAATATAGCTGTATATAGATTTTAAGGCTGAAAATTCTCCCCTTTAATTTCCTCCATCCCAATCTTCTCTCCACTGGTAAGAACAGATAATTTTTTTTAAGTCTCTATTGTTCGTGTATTTGCTGTTTATTTTTCTCTCTTTGCATTTGCCGCCTTACCAAGTGTTAACCCCTCTGCTCTCTTCCCACTGATACTTTGATGACGTATTTTTGCATTAAGGGTGGTTGAGTGAGACAGGAGTGGGGTAAGTGGAGGCAAAAACTGGGCTCCAACCGGCACGAAAGAAGAAAGTCAAGACCATGTGAAGAGTGAGATAGAAGAGAGAGAAACTGGGATCTGGTTAACAACAACAAGAACTAGTCGCCTAATGTCCTTTTCAAAGGCTGCCTTCAGACCAGGGTCAGCAGATATGATTCCATCTGAGCAGCCCCCAAGATAACCCATCACCACATCATGGGTCAGCCTTGTGGTCCCTCTTTTTTTTTTTTTTTTAAGATTTTATTTATTTAATCATGAGAGACACACAGAGAGAGGCAGAGACCCAGGCAGAGGGAGAAGCAGGCTCCATGCAGGGAGCCCAACGTGGGACTCAATCCCGGGTCTCCAGGATCAGGCCCTGGCTGAAGGCAGATGCTCAACCGCTGAGCCACCAGGTGCCCCTCATGCTGCCTCCCTAAGGTTCTGAGGGGTTCTTTCCCCTTGGCTGAGCATCTCCTCAAGGACTCCTCCTTGCCCACAGCTTGAAGGTTCTCTCTCTGGGCCCAGAGCCATCAAAGGTGGTGTGGGAGTCCAGAGGCGGCGGATATCCCTTCAGCCAGGGTTTCTAAATCCTCTAAACTCCTGGAATCTTTGTTTATTTGCGATTGTTTCATTTTCAAGGGTTCACACTGATTTCCTGGGGCAGTTCTAGCTTGTGCTGGGGAATAATGTAGGAAGATGAAGCTGCAGTTTGGCAACAGAATAAAACCAAGGGATTGGCTGCCGAAGAATGCTTCCTGAACCCCGGGGGGTTTTGGGGGGAAACCGCAAAGAACCCCAAGCTTTAACCACCGGCAAGATGTCCCATTCCCTCCCCGGGGCCGCACGAGCACCATTCGTGAAGCCGAGCTTAGCTACAGTGTTTAAGCTGGTCGGCCCCACGGATCCCTGCATGGAAATCCGTGGTTACCTGAAATTCAATGGGAAAAACACGGCCTCTTTGTTTCTAGTAACTTCTAACTGAAAGTTAAAATTTACTTCAGAGGCACCTGGGAGGCTCAGTCTGTTAAGCATCTGCCTCGGGCTCAGGTAGGGATCCCAGGGTCCTGGGATGGGCCTTAAGTCCATGCTCAGTCCCTCCACTTGTGCCCCCACCTCCCCTGCAATCAGAAAAAAAAAAAAAAAGAAATTTAGAATGTACTTCAATTCTGAATATTTATTTATTTATTTATAAATATATATATATAATATTGGTTTTTTAATGGGTTTTAACTTAACTTAAATGGCTTTAGCTTAAATGCGTTTTAACTTAATTCACAACCTTAGGCTCAGGTAGTGACCCCGGGGTCCTGGGATCGAGTCCTGCATCAAGCTCCCTGCAGGAAGCCTGTATCTCTCTCTGCCTCTGTCTCTGTGTCTCTCATGAATAAATAAATAAAATCTTTAAAAAAAAAAAAACCAACACTATGAGGATATCACTGTCCAAAAACTCTCCATACTGCCATCTAGAATAGAAATGAACTTTTCTGGAACAACTGAATTTAACTTTAATTATTCAAATTGTAGAAAATCAGAAAGAACAGCTAATCCAGGGTTGATACAGTGCATTTTATATTGTTTAGAAGTTATCTAATTATTCCACATGCCCGTTACTTTGATTGATACATTTTTGGTGATGACAACATTTATACAACAGATTTTGCTTACAAATGTTGGGCAGAAATATTTTTTTAAAGACTGAATGGGAAATGCCTGTGTGTACCAGTTTTCTTTGTGAAGAGTTTTTTTAGGGGCTCAGAAATGTCCCAAATATTACACCACTAGCCTGAGCTCCCTTTATCAGGGAAAAAATATGTTAACTTTTTTCCCAGTAATTAATGAGACCCAGGAGAGACGGTGTGTTAATAAAAATGCATATGGAGATGTAAGATCAATAGTAGGTTCTTTTCCTGGAATGAATATGTGTAAAGGATGGGTAATTTGAAAATTCAATGGGTGGGGAAAAAACACGAAAAATTCACCTTCTATAGGATTTTGACTAGAGAAAACACTTCTTGCGCTGGTTGATGACATTAGGAAGCCATTTGTATTGATTATAACGCTTAAAGGTAACTATTACTCTGAGTATACTTAGTGCAATTATACTGATTAGCTATTTATAGCTAATTTATAGCTATGCATTATTATACTTTATTAATAAATGTATAACTATATATTTAATATTATAATATTTAATTATTAATAAATGTATAGCTATATATTTATTAATAATTAAATATATTTATTTCTGATGGCTTCTCTGATTGGCTAACCTAATATTTCTAATCATGGTTCTGTCCTTAATTAATGAAGTTACTTTCAGCTCTTTGGCTGCTTAAGTATAAAATAAAGGGATTAGACTTTATTGGCTTTCAAGCTGTGATCCATGGAATCCCTTCAGTGGCCTTTCTGGTAAATGAGAACGTGTTGGGAAGGAGAGGTAGGATAGCAAAGGGGAAGCCAAAGCCAAGGTCAAGAGATTCATCACCTCAAAGTAGATATGTTCCAAAATTTTCTGATCACCACGCGCACGTGCACACACACACAGGCACACAAGACTGCACTGGTTCTGCTTTGATATTTATGCAAGTCTGCTTTCCACAGATTTTGTCTTTAAGTCCGAGTAGATGTGTACATGATGAAGGGTACAGAATCACTCTTTGTAAAGAAAGGATTATGCAGGCAGCCCAGCAGATGGCTCAGCGGTTTAGTGCCGCCTTCGGCCCAGGGCGTGATCCTGGAGATCCGGGATAGAGTCCCACGTCGGGCTCCCTGCATGGAGCCTGCTTCTCCCTCTGCCTGAGTCTCTGCTTCTCCCTCTCTCTCTGTGTCTCTCATGAATAAATAAATAAAATCTTTAAAGAAAAAAAGAAAGGGTTATGCTGCACTAATGGGAGTATTTTTGGCAACTCTTTTATTTACCAATGTCACCTTTATCTCAGGGTAGATCAGGGTTTGTCGAGGAGTGTCTGGTACACTGCACATGGGGTCAAAGATGAAGATTTTTCTCCATTGCTGTAATAAGAACATTCTGCTGTCATCCGATTACTAAGTTAACAACAACATAATGTATTGAGGAGTCCTGGGCTAGTGTGTGCTCGGGCACCCTGGTGGATGGGTTATGGGTATACTTGAGACATGAATCTTGGCAAGATATGGCTGGGGGGCAGAGATCATAGGCCAGGTCCTCTGCCTTGAACAACTTTGTCCATTTACCACATACTGAACCAGTACAAATATCATTATTTTTAATTATTATTTTATTTTTAAAAATATTTATTTATTTATTTAAAGGAGAGAGAGGGCAGCCCGGGTGGCTCAGCAGTTTAGCGTCACCTTCGGCCCAGGGCGTGATCCTGGGGTCCTGAGGTCGAGTCCCCTGTCGGGCTCACAGCATGGAGCCTGCTTCTCCCTCTGCTTGTGTCTCTGCCTCTCTCTCTTTCTGTGTCTCTCATGAATAAATAAAGAAGGTCTTTAAACAAATTTTTAAATTAAAAAGAGAGTGTGTGTGTGCAGGGGCAGGAGCAGAGGGAGAGGAAGAAAGTCTTAAGCAGACTCCATGCTGAGCATGGAGCCCAATGAGGGGCTTGACCTCATGCTGAGCATGGAGCCCAATGAGGGGCTTGACCTCAGGACCCTGAAATTACAACCTGAGCCAAAACCAAGAGTCTGATGCTTAACTGACTGAGCCACCCAGGTGCCCCCAAATATGATTTTCTAGGTGTGCCATGATGTGAAAACGTTAGGAAGTACCAGTCTGTTAAGTAACAGGAAATCGTCTTCCAGGGTCGATTGAAGCATAAGCCGTGCCTTGTTTGAGCAGCCTCTTGCTTTAAAAAGTTGAGTTTGAATGACAGGGGAAAGACAGGGACTCTCCATTTTCTCACAGAAGACAGGGACTCTCCATTTTCTCCCAAGGTCTCCAACTCCCCCCAAAACAACTGAGTTTTGGATCAATAGCTTAAAAACTTTCAGGGCTGCCTGGCCTCCTAGTGCAAGATCCCTGGATATAGTATTTTAAAAACATGTCTTGGAGAGTTTTGATGGCTTGATAAATTTGAGAAACGCAGCAGCCCCTGCAGCCGAGCGCATAGAAAAATTCTCGACTGATTCTGCTCATTTCCACCTTCATTCACTAGGGGCAAGATTTCCCCTCCGAGCCCCCATCCTCACACATGGGGTCTGAGAAACCCTATTCTTTCCCAGGACTTCTGGATGCAGGCTCTGCAGGTGATGGTGCTGGTGTGGGCCCATCCCCTAGGACAGCTCAGCTCAGAGTCCCTTCCCTGAGCTCCTGGCTCTCTTGATGGGAGGTTCTTCTCACTCCTCTCTGAAACCTCCAGAATCCTCTAATAATCTATGTCTCTGCTTTGTCTTCCCCCAGCCCCAGCCCCAGCCCCAGCCCCAGCCCCAGCCTCATAGTGTTTCAGAGCAGGAGAGCTCACTCTGCAAGCATGCATTTGAATCTTTCTCTGTGGGACATGGTCCCCTGGTGTTTTGTTGGGTCTTTGTTTCTGCTTTGATGTGGACATTACATAGGAGAGCAAAGCAGATAGGACATTACATTAAAAAAAAAAACCTCACAATTTAATACTGTGAGATATTTCTGAATAAATCAAATAGGAAAGCTATAGGACTTACGAAGAACATCATAAAATTTTATTGAACATAAAATAAGATTTGAACACATGAAAAGACTTACTATGTCCTTGGATGGAAGTCTAAATACCATAAAAAAGTCAATTTCCTCAAATTGATATATTTGTAATGCAATTCCAATTAGGATCCCAACGGGGATTTTTAAAAAATGTAATTAGATAAATCTTCATGGGGAAGAATAAGTGCCCAAGTATAGCCAAAGAAATTATGAAAAGGAAAAAACAGTCGTTAAAAGAGAAAGCAGAAGCAAAGTGTTAAATATCTCTATGACTCAGGTAGTGAGTTCATAATGGGTATCATTATTATTATCTGCATCATTATTGTTTTATGAAACATAAAAATGTTTCATAATTTAAAATAAAAAGTTAAAAGACTGGGTATGAGTTAGAGCTATGTTCAGCTACACATTTTAAAATCCAAAAATAAGAGTGGCTTTTAAAAACCTCTCTTACTGTATTTCTCTCACACATAAATTAAGTCTAAGAGTAGAGAGCTGAGGGGCTTGTGTGGTGGTCCCCAGGGCCATCAGGGACCCAGGCTCTTTTTCTCTTTCTGCTCTACCATCTTAGCACATGACGCCTACCCTCAAGATTGCCTTATGGCATCAGCATCAGCCTTTCTTTCTTTCTTTCTTTCTTTCTTTCTTTCTTTCTTTCTTTCTTTCTTTTTCTTCTTCTTCTTCTTCTTCTTCTTCTTCTTCTTCTTCTTCTTCTTCTTCTTCTTCTTCTAAATTTAAATTCAGTTTAATTAGCACACACCATTATTCGTTTCAGAGGTAGAATTCAGTGGTTCATCAGCTGCATATAACACCCAGTGCTCATTACTTCAAACGCCCTCCTTAATGCCATCACCCAGTCACCCCATCCCCCCTACCCACTGCCCCTCCGGCAACCCTCAGTTTGTTTCTTATAGTTAAGAGTCTCTTATGGTTTGCCTCCCTTTCTGAAAGCTTTTGCCTTATTTTATTTTTTCCTTCCTGTTCCCCATGTTCAGCTGCTTTGTTTCTTAAATCCCATATATGAGTGAGATCATATGAGAATTGTCTTTCTCTGACTGACTGACTTTGTTTAGCATAATACCCCCTAGCTCCATCCACACCGTTGCAAATGTAAGAGTTCATTCTTTCTGATGGCTGAGTAGTAGTCCGTGGCATAGATACGCCACATCTTCATCCGTCCATCCGTCGATGGACATCTGGGCTCTTTCCATGTTTAGGCTGCTGTGGACACTGTTGCCATACACACTGGGGCAGCCATCGTTTCTAAGTTCAGGTGTCAGGAAAGAGGAGGAAGGAGACTTCGCTGAAATCCCACACAAAACTCTCACCCATGTTTCCTTGGGAAGCATTTAGTTCCATGGCTACACCTAAGGGAGAGACACTGAGAAATCACTTTATTCCAGGGGCATGTGCCCAGCTACACATTTACCTGTATTTTTCTCAGGATACCCCTGTGTGACTTGTGGGACGTTATTTGGTGGTGTGGGAAGAAAACAAAAGCTTCAGGAGGAACTCCATTCAGGAGGAGAGAATGTGTGGGCAACAGAGGAGCAAACAAAAAAAGCTAAACCATTTTAAGGTGCTCGCTTAAACTTTCCCATTGTACCTGAAAGGGGAGGAAGGAGGCCTTGTAACATCCTGTCATTATTCATCTGCCGAGTTATTTGTGTGGCTTGGTTGTCAAATAGTGATTTCACTCTCATAACTCAGGAGAATCCTTTCCTCATGACAGCCTCACTCTAGGTACGTTTTGCTGTTTTGCTCGCTCTGCAGAGAGCTTTACACTTTGTAAATTGTTTGCTACAATTGTTTGTAGAAACTCATGTTTCAGATGCCAATCCCTGTTTCAGCTTTTTGGGACAGCCCTTACCATGTGGCCTCGTGGGCCCAGAGCTGTTGGAACAGCGTCTCTCCACCTGGCCGCCCCCACCCCACCCCACACCCCCCTCACTCTCGGGTGCTGACAGGAGCCTGCAGACCTCCCTTCAGGAGTTATCCATGTCTTTATAAAGAGCTTTGCTCCCTGACCACAGTTCAGCCCAAGGCAGTTTCGTAGAAGCTGTTTACTGCTCCTGTGTGTCTACCAGAACCTGCCCCGGCCTTCTGTGCTAAGTTCAGAGGAGAGTAAAACCACCGCATAAAGATGAAAGAATTTGGTCTCTAGAGGACTGTTTCTAATATCCCAGGTATCGGTTCTTTGCAGCCCTGAAGGGAGGGACCAGGTCAGGTCATTTCGTGACGTCCTTTCCTCCTCCATGGCCCCATGTCCTCTGTTTGCTATTCTGCTAGCACCACACCCTAGGTCCTGCTGTGACAGCTGAAAGGTCACCTCGGCTCTGAGGATTCTCCTGTGTGACCCTGCAGGCTGCATAGTCGTGCTCACCGAGTGTGAGCTCTCAGCGCCGTGCCCAGCTGAGTGCCCCTGGAGTGCTGGAACACGCTGGCTCATCACTCCAGCAGAGAGCTATGGCACGCACTTGTTTCATAGGGAACTTTCATCCTCTTCTGCAAAATTTCATTTTTAAAAATGCAATGAGATATCATATGTCCCAGATGGAAACTCTGAGGGAGTGCGCTGGGGACTGTCCCACCACCTGACTTGGCTGCTCTGTGTCAGGAAAGCTGTGAATTCATTCACATTTACTCTCTCCATTTGAACACTTAAAACTTATTGTCATCAATGCTACCTTTACGAGTAGAACTTTGAGAGTGACCTTGTGGAGTGCTACATCAAGTGGCAAAATCTTCTCCTTGGAATTCTTGTGTCTGTAGACTAAATTCATATAGAAATGAATTTCTAGAGGCTTAGTCATACACATATAAAAGTTTGCTGCAACAAAAATGTTCAACTCATAGCTATAACATTCTCATTACTAGATTTAGATGAGATATAGGGGGACCGGGACACAGTTTACTAACAAGCTATTCACTTACATCTTCGCATCTCAGCCCCAAAACACATTCACTTGAGTGAGTTTGGGGTCTGACACTGAGGAATATTATTGTGAAGCTTTGGGGGGGGGAGGCAGAAAATGATTACTCTGCGTATGTATTTCAGAATGTGCTTTTAACCATCCTGGGAACGATGGAAGTGACAGGAAATCAGACTTCAGAATCACCCCACTGCTGAGTTGTTGGGGAGAAACAGACAGACTAGCTTTATTTTTGAGAAATTCTCCAGGATATTTCATATCCAGGCAGAAGAGACTTAATCTTTATTTTAGGAACTCCTCCAAAAGGTATGCATCCCCGTAGCTGCACGATCATTTACAGTGACAGGCATCATTACGGAGCAGTCTGAATTCATAGGAGTTCTATCTTTGGAGGTGCTCATAACCCTTGTGTACCTCTTTTCTCTTTCAGTATAATAAGGTGTACAAGAACCTAAAGGAGTTTTCTCAAAATGGAGAGAATTTCTGCAAGCAGGTCACATCCATTCTTCAGCAAAGGTACAAAAAAAAAAGCGTTCGCAATAAGCAGTTCTTCCTCTTTAGTTGCAGCTAGCGATGTGACTGGAGGAGTGATTACAAGCTGTCCTACCTTCCAGAACTCGGTGTTATATTCTGGTACTTGAGAGACTGATTTGAAGGGTGATTCTCCTCTATTGCACATTTATTATTTGGGTACCACAAAAATCGGGAAACAACAGGAAGTAATTCTGCTTGTGAGGGCTCAGTCAAGTCTCTTCTGATTCCTCAGACTGAGCTTATCACCCACTCCTGGGGCGCTCCGTGGTGCCTAATGTGCACGCCACTATTGTGCTTCCCACAGCGATGGCAGGTTTGAGTTGACGTTTGTGTCTCCCCTGCAAGGGCAGGGGCTGCGTCTTGCTCTTCTTTGTGTCCTGAGTGTTTAGAGTCTGGGCTTTTGACTCCCTCCATAAATGTCTGATGAATGAAAAGTGACCATTTGCAGTATCACCTTGTCTCAATACTGGGTGTGATCATGCCTCAAGGTGGTGACTAGGCTACAATGAGTGCCCTTAACTCAGTCAAGAAAGTTACAGAAGTTCCTGCTTAGGGCCGCCTGGGTGGCTCAGTCAGTTGGGCATCTGCCTTCGGCTTATGTCATTTGGGGACCTGGGATTGAGCCCCACATCTGGCTCCCTGCTCAGTAGGGAGCCTGTTTCTCCCTCTCCCTGCCTTGCTCTGTCTGCTTGTGTGTTCTCTTTCTGTGTCAAACAATAAATAAAATCTTGCCATCAGGCAAGTAAAGGGTGTTCTTGGAATACACGGAGTAGGGCATTTCCATCGAAGGTTATGACATAGAAAATTGTGAGGACAAATCCAGTGGCCAGCGTAATAAAAGATATAGTGAGGGAGCATACGGGGCTTCTTTGAACTAAGGGTATCGGTCTCATAAAATACATTCAGTGAGTACTTGTAGGTTAAATGAATAAATAAATGAAAGATAGTTAAGGGTTTATATTCTTATTATCACCCCTACATTACTAGAGCAAGGTCTTTCCTGTCCTTGGATAGCAACAGCTCCAGACACGGTGCTTACGAATCCGCTGGAATGTGGCTCTGCATGGCAGGTCCGCATTAGCACTTGGCTACGAGAGACAGCCTCACAATCAAGCTTTAAGTCCAGGTAATGCTGCATCTCCGAGCTCAGCTGCTCTCATTGGTGGCCATGGAAAAGCGCGGTTGTTACCGAAACATCATTTTGTCTGGTAATTCTGCAATTCGTGGTCATGCTTAGCGTCTTTTATCCATTTAGGGGCTTCAGTTTCCCTTTGTTTGCAGTAGCCAGAAACACACAGCAGCTCCTAGGATGCCTGATGTCAGTCATCGGGTTCACTTTAACACAATCACAGATCGGATTTAAGGGACAAAGGCACATGCCCAGAAACGGTTTATGAAGGTTTGGTCCCCTGCACCCTCACCGCTAGGCTTTAAAGAGGCTTTCATGGGAAAATCAATTGTTCCTCTGTAAAGAAGCTTAAGATCGGTTTTTCAAATGGCAAATACCACTGCTCTGGACATTAAAAAGTAAATAAATAAAAAGAAAAGAATAAAACAAGGAAGGAAGTGTAGTTGGTCGTTGTTCTCTCCAGGGTTCATTGTGGATGCTGTCAGCAAAGGAAGAAATGATTGAAATGAAACCTTGATAAATCCTAACCCACCACTGGCCTGGGTGATCTTAACCTCCACAGCTTCAGCTCTTTTTTCCCTATTGAAGACCTGCACATGCGTATTATTAGGCAAAATGTCTTATCTGTACTCCAAGCCGTATATCCAACACTCTGTTGGATATTTCCATTTGGGTGTCCCATGGAATGGCAAAGTCAACTAATCAAAACAGAGCTTAGCAGCTTTTCTCCAAAGCTTTTCACCATGGTGTCTGGGACCTCTGCCCACTCAATCAGCCCAATACCTGGGAGCCACCCCATGACTCCTTTTTCTATCACACCTCAAGATCAAGCTTCTCTCTTTTAAACACCTTTTATATCTATAGCTTTCTTCTCATTTCATGACCTCTGTCATTGTTTTGGAAAAAAAGAAAAGTCTCTTAACCTGTTCTTCTGTCTAGGAATACTGTCTTGAAGTTGCATAGGTTGTATACTGCACAAAGGCACCTGGTTGAGGGGCTGCATGAAGGCAGAAATCTAACCCACTCTGCACCCTGGAGCCTTGCACCCTGGCTCCAAGCTGTGTCTTTTCAGGGGATCTCCTTTTTCTAATCCAAACAAAGTTATTTGGACGAGGGAGCTGGCGAGGGCCCTGTCCCTGTGTCTCTAGTGCATCTTCCACTCTGTGGACATGACCCTCTTTCAGACTCTTCAATGACTTCCAGACCTTCAGTATAAAATTCAGCCCTCATGATATTTTATAAAAGGACCTTTGAGATCCAGGCCCTGGCTTCTTACCCAGCTTGTCTCTCTCCATCTATCCATGAGCCCCACCCCTCTGCATCTATTCAATTTTTTTTTTTTAATGAGAGTCAGAGAGAGAGAGAGAGAGAGAGAGAGAGAGAGAGGCAGAGACACAGGCAGAGGGAGAAGCAGGCTCCATGCACCGGGAGCCCGATGTGGGATTCGATCGCGGGTCTCCAGGATTGCGCCCTGGGCCAAAGGCAGGCGCCAAACTGCTGCACCACCCAGGGATCCCTCTCTGCATCTATTCAACCACTAGCAGTCACTACCACCCCCTGCCCCCCACCATGGGTCCTTTCACTCCTCCCATCAACTCCCACCCACCATCATGGGTCCCTGAATTTGTGCATGCTGTATCCTCTGTCTGGTAGACACTTCTTCACCTTGGTTACCAGTCCCCATTCAATGCATCTTCAAGATTTGGTTATCCCACTCATGTGAGCCTCCCATCTCAAAATGGCACCCGTCAGAGATGCAGAGAACTAGTGCTCATCTCTGCTCTAGATCCTACCTCCCTATAGTGTTATAATCTGTTCACTTGCCTGTCTCCTCCACTGGAGGCTGAACTCCTTGAGAGTCTCTGTATCCCACGTGACCAGCACAGAGCCTGGCACAGAGCAGACATTCCATGGATGTTCACTGAGTGAATAAGTGTGATAATGTAGGAATGACTTCAGGCACTTATCACTTTTAAGAAGTTCAAGTTAGGCTATCTCTGAGGAGCAATAAATAAATGTGTCAAAGAAATTTACTTCCATAGTAAATAGAATATTATTTTGAACAAAAGCTAGAAAAGAAGGACAAAAACACTAAAGACACCATTTCTCCAGCACAATCTTCAGATTAGGCACTGTGTTACATGTGCCTTATACTTGGTCTCTTTTATTTTTTTAATTCTCACAACTCAGTGCAGTGTGAACGTGCTGTCATCCACTCATACAAATGGGGATGTGGGAAAGAAGATCCATTTTGATTTCTGCCCAGCTCAAGGCAGGCTTGGTGTAGGGCATCTGCCAAGTGGGCAGGCAGTGTGGGGCACACCACTGCGGGTGTTCCGATGTGTGCAAGGGTCCTGGTCCAGCTCCCTTCAGAGTCTTAAGGTCCTCTATGGGAAGGGACACCAGTGGCCGCTAAGCCCAGTAGCTTCTAAACCTAGTAACACAGGATTCAGTGGGAGCCCTCAGGGGCCACTTCAGGGAGTGAGGAGAAGTTAGATGGGCAGGGCTCAGCTCCCCTGTCCTGCCACTGCCATGATATCAGAAGAGCATTTCTATGACGTGGTAAGATTCTGTATAAAATTTTGTTTTCGGGCTCAAAAGTTTGGAATAGGGCCCTTCTTGTCCATTTTTCCTGCCTTCTCCCAAGATAGCACTTGCACCTGGCTCCACTGACCTCACTTGGTTCAGGAATTACCAGGCATGGAGAATCCGAAGTTCCAGGGAGAGCTGTGCACTCCCTGGGCGGGAAATGGGCGGCAACTGAGCGGCACTTTCACCCTGGACACCCAAGGAGGGGTCGTCCAGGTCTGCTTCTCCCATTTCGGCTTCTCAGAAGGTTCTTAGCAGCCAGAATTAAGGCAGTCTGAGGAAATGGGCAAAGCAGGCTAGCCTGAGCTTGAATAACAGGGCCTCCGTGTAATAGTGTCCTTTAAGTGGCTAATAACTTTTAAATATAGCCAATTTGTATGATGGGCTTGGGTCTGTCTTTCAAAAGGCCGACAGCTAAGCCTGGGGTGGAAAATCTCAGCATACCAGCCCCCCACACTGGAAGGTGCTGCTGGTGGAAAGTAGGCAACCAGAAATGGGGATGATTCATGAACAAAATTGCAGATTACTAAAATTCCTTCTTAATTCCTAATGAAGGGATGGCTCTGTCACCTGCTGCTTCCAAGCTCAAGAAAGCTTTCGTTCAATTTAATTAGTTCCTCATAGACACAGGGGCCAGCCACAGCCTTTCTTTCTTCCTTTCTGTTTGTATCACTTCTTATCATCTTAATTGTACTAGAGCAGGATCCGCTAAAATTGGTGACAGGGTCACTTATATTCTCACAGTTTAATTTGTGCTCTATATAAAATATTGAATCTGGTGCCGCCTATTTTTCCCCTCTCCTTTCTTTCAAACGTGTAATCTATTTTAAAATCTAAGACAAATGTTGGTCTTTGACTTATTGGTTGGTCCTCATTATCACTAATGAAAATTTATTGACCTGGCTCCACATGCTGAGAGGGAATCAGAATATAAATGGATTAAAAATCAGTGCATGCCATTTCCCTGGTTCGGGATCTTTAGGGCTCCCTGGACTATTCTGAGCCTGAGTTACCCATCGAAATGCGTATATACACACATCATCAATTTTACATGTGCCAAGACAATTGCTTGGAGAAGAAATCTCAACTCCTGTCCTCTCTGGTAGCCAAAGGGCTAGAACATCAAGCACGGTGGCGTTCTTACAAGCCTGTTTCTGATGATCTTAATGAGAGAATGAGATTCTCTGTCTCAGTTCTGAGGCTCACCCGGCCTCTCTCAGCAACCCTTGCACGTGGGCATCATGATACAGCAGCTCCCTTCACA